TATATATATATATATATATAAACATGAAGTTTTATATTATTTTTTAATTTTTGAAAAAAAAATGGTATATAGTAGATAAAAATGTTCATAATAGATCTAATCCAATATAAATCACAACAGTTAGTCCGAGAAAATCCAAACATCCGGTAAAAGATGAAGAAAAAAAAACCTTACATTGAGAGGACGAATGTTGCTCCATAAAAAAAAACAATTTTTTAATTGAATTGGATTGATTTTTCAATTCCAATAAAAAAACTAATTCAATTCAAACTAAACAGAATACTTTTTTATAATCAAATATATACTATCATTAATTTATTATTAAAATTAAGTTAATGTTCGTACTTAAAATGATGTATATCACTTTTTTCTTATTTTTTAATCAATTAAAGTGATTGACCAATATTCATATTTATCACTTACTAATGTAAATTACTATTCAATATGCACTAATCAGTAACATTAAAGTTATTTTCCATCTTTTTCATAGGAACAAAAAATTATTTGATTAGCTAATAAAAAAAAAACATCTAATTTAAAATGGTATTTTATAGTGTCGAAAACCAAATACATATTCATTTTTATAGTTAAAAATTAAAACGGTTGTCTATTATTCATTTTTTTAAGTTAGTGATTTTGTGATTATTATATTATTAAATATTAATAAATCATTTGAGTTCATATATTAAGATTTATTATTATTATTATTATTGCTATTGATTATTATTGATATTAATAATTTATTTTGTCCATAAAAATATTATAATTATGTTTGAAAAATTAAAAATCAATTCAATCCAACTAAAAATATAAAGCATCTTACTTTCAGTTGAATAATCCTATATAAGGATACGCATATTTGTCCCTTAAATAGAACCTGTAAAAGCAGACTAATTAGATAAGGTGAGGTGCTCGACAAAACGTCTACAAATTAAAAATTGGTCAAAATATTTTATTTGTGAGTCACAACTCAGAACCCTCTTTATTTGTTTCAAAATGAATTGCCCTCTTGCAAATTGCTATCAAATGAGTATAAAACTCTACGGTAGTTAGAACTTGGAAGCAGTCTCAAAAACTCATATATAAGAAATATTAAATAATTTCAAGAATAACTTTAAGAGATGGATGAAGGTTAATTATTATTAAGTTAAAAAGAAAAAAGAAAATGAAGTTGTTGGAAGTTGGTGAGCATTGGGGGAAAAGTTACGAAAAGACGAAAAAGAAAGTTCATGAGAAGAAAAGGAAATCATTAGAAAAGTTGGAAGAGTAAAACCAACGGCGAAGGAGATAAAATCCAAAGAGGTAATGATAAAATATTGCCTAATATATCGATAGAACTCCATAGACATAGGTTAGAAATGGGTCGGAACACTAATTATAACAACGGTTTTAATCGTTTAAGAAGACATTTTTTTTTATTGAAGGGGCCAAAAGGCCCAAAACTCCAACAAAATCAATTACATCTATGAGACTAAAAAATATGATTTACAACCTTTCTAAAGCAAGATTACAGCATTTAAAAAATTAGATTTAACCAAAAATGTTCTATATCCTCTATTCCAATCAAGATTCACTCCAATATAAATAGCCCATAGCTCTGCCTGAAACACATAACTAAAGCCAATATTAGCAAGAAAAAGCAAACCACACCTCATCCTTATGATCCCTTAACACACCCTTAGCAGCAAACCTTCTAGAAAAGAGATCAATCGCAACATCACAGATAATTAAGTTTGAAACAGGGAATGAATCCACCGAATTAGTGAAGAATCATACCTACCATTAGCAGATAACACACCACCAGGTTCTCCAATATTCGATCTGCTAATCTACAAAACACAGATCCGAAAAAGCATTCAAAAAAGATTCACTACTACAAGATGCATATTTTACATCGGTTCTCTAAAGGCATTTACATCGGTTCTAAAACCGATGTAGAATAGAGCAATGTAAAAAATGTATACATTTTTACATCGGTTCTGAAAAACCGATGTAGATTTAAGCATAAATCTACGTCGGTTCTCCAGAGAACCGATGTAAATTTATGCTTAAATCTACATCGGTTCTCAAGAAAACCGATGTAGATTGCATTTTAAAAAAAAAAACATCATGCTTATTCTTGGACTTACTTCAATGAATCTGACATGTGAAATAAATTTATATGTTTAAATAGATCATGCCACACATTAGGAGAGTTCAAAATACTATAGCTTATGCCTGAAAAATCCAAATGATATACCACAATTATAACGCCATCCCCCCCCTAAAAAAAATAAAATACATTAATCACATGATCACATAATGTACTAATAAAAAAATATGCATCACCAAATGTATCATCATAAAAACTAAATTGGAATATTCAATTCATTCTGGCTAGAGGAACAGACCTAAATAAAGTTATACCTTAAAGACATGTATTTTCCCTACTTACTGATTCGATTCCTGATTAAAGAGCACAGAAACATGATCAATCAAAAGCATTTATTTACCTACTTCCCTTCTTTGGACCAGATACCCCATCTTTGGACTTTTCACCTGTCATCCGCGAATGAATAAAAAAGGCCCATACTTTTATTAACATTATTATACAAAATAATAGCAAAAAACTATGTACAAAATAAATTTTTTGAGTGTTGATGCTATTTATATTTTGATTTTTGAACTTATGGAGTTATGTCATTAACATTAATTTAATTGTTTATAAACTTTAATTTAATTGTTGTTTTAGATGTTTAATACTTTATAATGACAATGCTTTTTAAATTTAAAGCATGAAATTGTATTATCATGAACTTGTGATTTTAAATTTGAAGTTTTCACATAATATTTGTCAATGTTATTTAATATGACAATAATTTAAATTTAGAGTATCGAATATCTTAAATTGTGTTAATTATATTATTTTTAATTTTTTAATATAGATAAGTTTAACCAATTTAATAAGTGATTACTAAATCATTAAATGGTATGGTTAAAACTAAGAAAACTGCAAAAAGAACATAACAGTTCACTCATCACATAACAGTTTCAATTAGAGTTCTAGGCAGTAAAAAGAACAACAACAACAGTACACCTCATATGCAATTGAAACTTCTTTTCAGCCTCAGGATCATCTTTGTTTGTGTAAGGATGGAGCTTCTTTGCAAGCTGCAGAACATAGAGAAAAAAAATTGAGATGGTAGAAATGGCAGAGGGAAAGAATTATTTTAGACAAACAATTCATGATTATCAAGAGTCTTTGAAGAATTTGTGTCAAGAAAGAATGAAGGATAAGTAAAGGGAACTGTAAGGAATATGTTAGCAAGCCTAGAACTTGTGCAGACATTAAAATATTATAAGAGAATAATACATTCTGATTCTGGTAAAAGAAAATCATAAAAAAGTAGCAAGTAAAAAATTAAACAGCAAAAGGTGAAAGACATATTTCTGTAATATATAATGTAAATAAGTGATTGCATATGTAAGATCAACATGATTTAAAACAAACTCTTCCTAGTCCAATTCAAACAATTATTTTTAATATCGCTACTTGGGAAATGACTGCAGTAACCACATACTATAAAGAAAATGACAGTTTTGTAAGCATGTGGGAAAGACATGAAATTAAAAAAGAATGTTATAATCTGATCCCTTTTAACCAGGAAAGATACAAGAAATCATAAATTTTTACCAGGAAATAAGTCATGTTTACCAAAAAAAAATTTAAAAAAATGTTCTAGTATATATATATATTGATACTAGTTAATCAAAACCTACCCCGTAGTATGCTTTCTTTATTTCAGAAGAACTTGCATTCTTACTCACACCAAGCACGTCATAATAGTCTTTCGCCAATGATGCTGAAAAGGAGTTGAGGGAGAAAAAGAAATCATTCACAAGACAAATAATTATGCATACAGGGGAAGACCAAAATAGAAAACGTGAGTT